AGCACAGAGACCAACCCTGAGGAGAACTGAGGAGGAGCACAGAGACCAACCCTGAGGAGAACTGAGGAGGAGCACAGAGACCAAACCCTGAGGAGAACTGAGGAGGAGCACAGAGACCAAACCTGAGGAGAACTGAGGAGGAGCACAGAGACCAACCCTGAGGAGAACTGAGGAGGAGCACAGAGACCAAACCCTGAGGAGAACTGAGGAGGACTGAGGAGGAGCACAGAGACCAACCCTGAGGAGAACTGAGGAGGAGCACAGAGACCAACCCTGAGGAGAACTGAGGAGGAGCACAGAGACCAAACCCTGAGGAGAACTGAGGAGGAGCACAGAGACCAACCCTGAGGAGAACTGAGGAGGAGCACAGAGACCAACCCTGAGGAGAACTGAGGAGGAGCACAGAGACCAACCCTGAGGAGAACTGAGGAGGAGCACAGAGACCAACCCTGAGGAGAACTGAGGAGGAGCACAGAGACCAACCCTGAGGAGAACTGAGGACGAGCACAGAGACCAAACCCTGGGGAGAACTGAGGAGGAGCACAGAGACCAACCCTGAGGAGAACTGAGGAGGAGCACAGAGACCAACCCTGAGGAGAACTGAGGAGGAGCACAGAGACCAAACCCTGAGGAGAACTGAGGAGGAGCACAGAGACCAACCCTGAGGAGAACTGAGGAGGAGCACAGAGACCAACCCTGAGGAGAACTGAGGAGGAGCACAGAGACCAACCCTGAGGAGAACTGAGGAGGAGCACAGAGACCAACCCTGAGGAGAACTGAGGAGGAGCACAGAGACCAACACTGAGGAGAACTGAGGAGGAGCAGTGACCAACCCTGAGGAGAACTGAGGAGGAGCACAGAGACCAACCCTGAGGAGAACTGAGGAGGAGCACAGAGACCAACCCTGAGGAGAACTGAGGAGGAACACAGAGACCAACCTGAGGAGAAATGAGGAGGAGCACAGAGACCAACGCTGAGGAGAACTGAGGAGGAGCACAGAGACCAACCCTGAGGAGAACTGAGGAGGAACACAGAGACCAACCCTGAGGAGAACTGAGGAGGAGCACAGAGACCAACCCTGAGGAGAACTGAGGAGGAGCACAGAGACCAACCCTGAGGAGAACTGAGGAGGAGCACAGAGACCAACCCTGAGGAGAACTGAGGAGGAGCACAGAGACCAACCCTGAGGAGAACTGAGGAGGAACACAGAGACCAACACTGAGGAGAACTGAGGAGGAGCACAGAGACCAACACTGAGGAGAACTGAGGAGGAGCACAGAGACCAACACTGAGGAGAACTGAGGAGGAGCACAGAGACCAAACCCTGAGGAGAACTGAGGAGGAGCACAGAGACCACCTGAGGAGCACAGAGACCAACCCTGAGGAGAACTGAGGAGGAGCACAGAGAGAACAGAGACCAACCCTGAGGAGAACTGAGGAGGAGCACAGAGACCAACCCTGAGGAGAACTGAGGAGGAGCACAGAGACCAACCCTGAGGAGAACTGAGGAGGAGCACAGAGACCAAACTGAGGAGAACTGAGGAGGAGCACAGAGACCAACCCTGAGGAGAACTGAGGAGGAGCACAGAGACCAAACCCTGAGGAGAACTGAGGAGGAGCACAGAGACCAACCCTGAGGAGAACTGAGGAGGAGCACAGAGACCAAACCCTGAGGAGAACTGAGGAGGAGCACAGAGACCAACCCTGAGGAGAACTGAGGAGGAGCACAGAGACCAACCCTGAGGAGAACTGAGGAGGAGCACAGAGACCAACCCTGAGGAGAACTGAGGAGGAGCACAGAGACCAACCCTGAGGAGAACTGAGGAGGAGCACAGAGACCAACCCTGAGGAGAACTGAGGAGGAGCACAGAGACCAACCCTGAGGAGAACTGAGGAGGAGCACAGAGACCAACCCTGAGGAGAACTGAGGAGGCACAGAGACCAACCTGAGGAGACTGAGGAGGAGCACAGAGACCAACCCTGAGGAGAACTGAGGAGGAGCACAGAGACCAACCCTGAGGAGAACTGAGGAGGAGCACAGAGACCAACCCTGAGGAGAACTGAGGAGGAGCACAGAGACCAACCCTGAGGAGAACTGAGGAGGAGCACAGAGACCAACCCTGAGGAGGAGCACTGAGGAGAAACTGAGGAGCACAGAGACCAACCCTGAGGAGAACTGAGGAGGAGCACAGAGACCAACCCTGAGGAGAACTGAGGAGGAGCACAGAGACCAACCCTGAGGAGAACTGAGGAGGAGCACAGAGACCAACCCTGAGGAGAACTGAGGAGGAGCACAGAGACCAACCCTGAGGAGAACTGAGGAGGAGCACAGAGACCAACCCTGAGGAGAACTGAGGAGGAGCACAGAGACCAAACCCTGGGAGAACTGAGGAGGAGCACAGAGACCAACCCTGAGGAGAACTGAGGAGGAGCACAGAGACCAACCCTGAGGAGAACTGAGGAGGAGCACAGAGACCAACCCTGAGGAGAACTGAGGAGG